AATGGCATTAATGATATTACTGGGAGGACGATATCTCCCGCTAGAGATCTGATATGCACGTCCCCATGGGTCAGCATTTCCCATCTCCGAGATTTTTCTAAAATGGGCCAATTCCGTATCCCCCATCAACTGTCTATATCGCGCTCTCACACTATGGAATCGTTCCATAGCTAATTCCTCAGACCTGCCTCCTTTTCTTCTAGTCTTTTGCCATGCCCTTCTCGCATCACATACTTTTTTCCTCATTCTGTCAAGTTCAGGCGTCCACCACTCATAGCCGACCTCCCGTCTAGGGCGAGCACTCCCCAGGACATCTTCCGCAGATCGAACCACAATGTCAGTGAACTGCACACAAAGACGATCAGCCGGCTGCCTTACTTTCAATGCGCCCATTCGTACATGAATAGTTCCACGAAAGAAGCCCCAGTTCACCCCCCGGTCCCGAAAACGGGCAGGGACCTCCACCGGCCCCGGGAGCCTCGCATGTGGTTCTCCTCCAACTTTGTATATTATGAGCCGATGGTCGCTCGAGCTGACGCAGTCCAGGACTCGCCACCCTGTGATCGAGACTCCTCTGGAGGAAAGAGTGACATCTATATTGGACTCACCCATTGCACCCGAAAAGGTGCTCGGTTGGCCTTCCACGTTGACTATCACCAATCCCCGCGACGTTATAAAATCCTCCATGGCAGTACGACGGTAAGCAGCTTCATGGCCCCTACCTACGATCTGTTCAGCCTCACTGAACCAGAGTGGCGAGTGCGCGTTGCAATCCACTCCAATTACAACGCGCTTGCCTTTCAACTGGTCAAGTACGGTCTCTAGATGTTGCAGGTGATAATCAATGTTATGGCTATATTTAAAATAAGCCGAGACGATGTAGAGACCGTACTTCTCCACATGGCACACTACACAGTAGGGATTACTTAGGTGAGGCAATCCAGCCACACCCAAATTTCCGTTGCAGACCTTGATGCCAGCCTGCGATCCATCGCCGAACTGTACTACTTCCTGCACCTGCGGCCACTGTTCCTGGACTAGGAAAATATCCAAGTCCAGGTCCCTCGCAAGTGCAGGGAGCTCCTTGGTGGCCATCTCGCCGCGCCCCAAATTGAGCTGTCCAATTGATAAGTAATTTTTATCCGCCATACTGTGTAGTGTTGACCGCCCTCTCCTCCGCGTATACCCTAGCCGGGCACGTCTTCGCCATCGTGGCATGGTTCCTTGCGCCCGGCTTGCCAAACCTGCGACAAGTAGCACAGCAAGTGTCGGCTGATTTGCAGGCCTCTCGGCTGTGACCCTCTTCTCCACATTTGCCGCATGTCTCCTCTTTTGCCCTGCAATATTTAGCAGGGTGCCCGTATTGCTGGCATCGTTGGCAGCAGGTGACGTCTATAAAATCGCACGGCTCTACCACGTCCCACCCTATGTAAAGTCTATACCTGGAGGTCAGCACATCCCGCAGCGCAGGGGTGCACTGCAGCACCACCGTGGTTCTTCTGCTCCCCTTCCAAGATTTCTTGAATGCAATTTTGCACTGCTTCTTCAGCTCCTCCAGGGTCCACTTTTCATCCCCACCAAAGTTCTGGTCGTGGAGGGCCGGCAGGACTTCTTCTGACTTTACGTCATCCTCGAAGCCACGCAACGCAACCAATGGTTGGCGCTGTCGAGGCTCTGCAACCCTTAAGGTAGGTGGTGCTGCAGTTCTCAGTTTCTGTGCTGACTCCTTGGACGTGGTCTGGACCACAACCCCAGCATTTCCAATCTTCCTCAGCTTAGAGACCTGAATATTGATCTCAGATGGATTAATTGCCTTTTTCAACTCAGCTTTGGTATCGTCTGCCGTCTTGAGGTGTTCTTGCTCGTCAGCTGGGTAAAAGGCGAGAACCGGACCAGACTTCTCCGGAATAGGCATGGCAGCAACGCCCTTTGGCATCCTTAGTGCTGCTGCAAATGTTGGACCTGCGGCTGGGGCGTGGTCACCGTCACCTGAGGGTATACACGCGGCCACCTGGCGCGCCAGCTTCGCTTCTGCTTCTGCTTTGTCCCGCTCAGCTTTGCAAAGCGCAAGCTGAGCCTCCATAACATGTACCTGCATCGCCGCCATCATTGCAATCATGTCCCAGAGAGCATGGTCACGACTCTCCAGTGCTGAGCCGCAGGGGCATAAGCCAGAGTTCCTAAGGTTGAATTTTAGGAGACGCTCATTGAAACACCCGTGACCAACAAGAATCTGCGATACTGCATAATCGGGCTCGACCCACCTGAAGATTAGACGCTCTGCGATGTCCGGGAAAAACTTGTACAGATCCTTGCCATCTTGGCTTGAATCCCACCGGTCCTGCCAAATGGCAACGACAGCCGCCATCATCTCCCTCTTTTTCTTCCTGCGCTCCTTGTCGACCAGACCCGTCCCCTCCTCGTCGACTCGTCCCGCACGAAAAACTTCCAGGTCGGCAGGCAATACGCCCGCCAACACCGGTAGCGCTGCGTTGCTAGCCGTCCTGTAAGCCTTCGTGAGAAGAATCAAAGCTGGTCTTTGCGTCCTCATCAGTACGCTTCTGATAACATAAAGGGACGAGCGTTGGTACCATACGGCAGCAGCATATGTCAACGTTGCCACATAGGTCCCTGAATACAGGACTCTAAGGGCGTGAAATCTTATGCCCCAGGTCGATGAAGACACTCGCGACATCTTCCCGAAGCAAGCGGCGGCCTTCTCGCCGATATATAATGCATGCTGCACATAGGACCTAGCCTCGTCCAAAATTATTCCTAGGGCTCTTGCCTGTGAAACACTCGTGATCGTTGCACCGTCCATCTTTATAATTGGTCCACGTTTAAACTTGCCCTTATAGGTCATCGTTTGTGACTTCCCGGTAGAAAACCCTAGTCTGTTACGAATACCCCACTCGGACACGGCAGCGATCGTAGTTGCCGCTTTGCGCTCTATTGCGGAACGAGACGATGCTTCGACCACGATCGTCACATCGTCGGCGTAAGCAACGAAGTGTACTCCTTCGGGTTTTGGCAGCTTCAGGAGGTCATCGAGTAGGAGGTTCCATAGGGTTGGTCCGAGCACCGATCCCTGAGGACAGCCCATCGTGGAGACCTTCCACACTACCCGGTTTCCAGCAAACAGTCCTACACGGCGATTTATGAAGTAACTCGTTAAAATACGGTAAATATTAGGTGGAACGCCACATTGCTTTGCCTTGAGTAGGACCATTGGCCACCAGGCATTGTCAAAGGCTCCAGATATGTCCAAAAGGATCAGTTGCACGTAATTTTCGGTTGATCCGTTGGTAATTCGGTTGATAGTATTAAGGGCGGTCACTGTGGATCGGCCACGCGTGAAGCCATGTTGTGCATCGGAGATTCCGCGGTAAAGACATGGAGCGCAGGAGATGATCACACGCTCCAGAATTTTTCCCAATATGGGCAGCAAAGTTATCGGGCGGTAGGCTTTAGGGTCTGTGAGCGGCCTGTCGCCACCCTTTGGCAGAACAACGAGTTTGCCCATCTTCCACAGATCCGGAAAAACGCCCTCGACTATGCACGCCCTAAACATGTGCCAGATCTCGTCACCAGTTACCCGCCATGCCTGTCTAACAATCTTAGCCGTGATTCCGTCAATGCCGGGTGCAGTGTTCGGCAGTTCTCGAATGATGAGTCCAACTTGTTCTTTGGTCGGTGGAGTAGCATCAGTTCCAGATGGAGCACATGCAGCAGCGATCCGCACTTGTCGATGGTATACAGTGTCCCTGGCTAGATTATCGTCTGGGCATAAGGCATTGACGAGGCCAAGCATGGTGTCTCCGGTCGTCCTAGTATAGCCGTCAGCTAATCTCACTCCATTTAGCACGTTGAGAGGTGGACGAAAACGTCCACTGGCTGTTCGGTAAGCCAGGCCCCACGGATCGGCGTTACCTGATTCCGCGACAGAGCGGAAGAAGGCAAGTTCAGCTTCCTTCATAGCTAGCTTGTAGCGTATCCTGGTTCGTCGGAGATAATCTTGAAGAGCCTTCTCCCTGTCGCCTCCTATGCGACGTGAGGCCTGCCACTTACGACGTGCACAATAGACCTCGTTACGCATTCGGTCAAGAGCCGGAGACCACCACTCGTACCCTTCTTTCTCCTTTTTCGCACGTGTACCTAATCGTTCTCTCGCAGTACGTAGAAGTATTGCAGAGTACTGCTCGCAGATATCACTAGCTGGCCGCGTTAGCCTCAGCTGGGACATGCGGGCGTGCAGAGTCGAACAAAATCCTCCCCAGTTCACACCACGTTCACGAAAGTAACATACGTTATCTGAAAATTCTGTGCCATTGTACCCGTGTGAGTCACCAAGGATAACGCCAAACGTTATCAACTGGTGGTCACTTACACTAACACCCTCATGCACCTTCCAGTCAGCAACCCTCACACTACGTGTGGAGATGGTAATATCCACATTGGACGAGCCATTTGGGCTATGAAATGTTGGCGGTTGACCCTCCACATTATGTACCAGCAAATTCCGTCCGAGGATGAATCCCTCCATCTGGAGTTTGCGGTATTCTGTATCGGAGCCCCGACCTACATATTGCCTGCGCTCGCAGTGCCACATTGGAGAGTGAGCGTTACTGTCTACACCAATAAGGATTGGGTGACCAGAAAGCTGATCCATCACGTGGGTGAGATGTTGCAGGTGACAAGAGATGTCATGACTGTACTGGCAGTATAACGATACGACGTATATGCTAAAGCTCTGGCAGCTGACATGACCTACAACACAGTGTTCGTTGCATAAGTCATGTAGGAGCGTGACTACAAATCGTGAACTTACTGGTAATAGACCGGCCTTAGGGTTGGTGCCGCTCCCAAGTACTTGAGGATGCTGATGTTGCTCCTGAACTAGTACTAGATCCAACCCCAGTTCTCCGGCTATGACAGGAAGCTCAGTGGTAGCCGTCCTCGAGCCTTGCAAGTTGAGCTGACCTACGCGAAAGGTAGTCGTCCTATCCATATTGGGTCATATTGACCGACTGCTGTTCCGCGTGCAAACGTGCAGGACAGTTAAGAGCGGCAGTGGCATGTTGGTCAGCATCTTTCCGCTTGAAGCGCTTGCATGTGGCGCAGCACTGTGTAGCCGACTGGCACTCTGCGGCACGATGACCGGTCTCGCCACATTTGCCGCAGACCATCGCTGCCGCCCTGCAATGCTTCTCCGGATGGCCATACTGCTGACATTTAGTGCAGCATGTCACCCGTACATAGTCGCAGACTTCAGCTTCGTCCCAACCAATGAAGACGCTGCCGAGGCCGACCAATTTGTCCCGCAGCGCAGATGTGCACTCCATCACTACTGTGGTGCGAGGTACATCTTTCCGGCCCTTCTTGAAGGCAACTCTGCATGATTCGCCAAACTTATCTCTAGGCCAGTCAGGATCATCACTCAGATTGATCCTGTACAAATCCTCAATAAATTCAGTGGCTGGCGGGTCCGAACGCAAATTGCGCACTGCCACCAGTGGCCGCCTACTTTTGGGATCAGAGACCTTCAAGGAAGGCGGAACCGCTGCCTTCAATTTCTGGGCAGCCTCAATAGTTGCCGTCTGTACCACAATGCCGGAGTTCCCTACTTTTCGCACACTGTGTATTTTGATTCCCTGGGTGCCAGGCTGAACTGCCTTCTGCAACTCAGTCTTTGTATCGTCCGACGACTTTATGGAATCATTGTTTGGGTAAACAATGACTGCCGGGCCCTTGGACTGGACACAAAGTGGCGGCTTACCCTTAGGCAGCTTCAACCTGGCAGCATAGCTGTCAGCAGAGGGAACGGAAGAGGCCGCATAGGGGAAAGGAGGGGCAGAAAGGGTTTGGGTTTGGGCTACTGACAGTTCCAGTTGCGCACACTTAAGTTTGCAGGCAGTCACTTCTTGCTCCTTTTCTCCGAGCCTAATCTCTAACGTTGCCACGTACGCTAGAATGTCCTGGCTAAGGCTGCCGATAGTGGTTTTATCAGCCAAGTTGAGCTTGTTGCTCGCATTGGCGACAGTCGCGATTCCTTTTAGGGCCGCATGTACCTTCTCCATTAACGCAACCTTGTCCAGCGTTGAAATGCCACTGGAGCTGTCAGTACTAGTGGACGGCGTGGGATTATCAGATCCTGAGGACGGGTCAGAGATGGGTCTGCTCAATATGCCACTAACAGGCGGAATAGCAGACCTTTTCTCCGCAACGCGGCGCCTGACGGTCTCCTGCACGTCCTCAGGTGAGGTTAACGGCCTTTTAGCCATAGAGGTGGATGCTGCAGCGGGGATGCTATATGGGACCGGGGGTGTGCTGAACCCTTGCGGGGGGGTGCGACGCAGCGAGGAACGTGGTGTAAAACCAGCCTCTCGCCGCATCTGCTCCAACTCTTCGAGTTCAGCCTGTTTCCTGGCTAGCTCATCCTCGATGAGCTGCCGTTCCGTACCACCCGTATCCTCCTCTTCCATTTAAAATTATATAAATACTAAAATATAAATACAAACTAAATATCAGAAAAGAAAAAGAAAATAAAATTAAAAGGGGGATATTAATAATTTGTATCTAGCAATACAGTGACAGTGACAATGACAATGACACTGACAGCTGCCAAACGTCAGACGTCAAACGTCAAACGTCAGACGTCAAACGTCAGACGTCAAACGCCAAACGTCAATTGAATCTGACAGCAGCAAATGTCAATTGAAACTGACAACTGTAAACCGCGTGCTCACCACGTGCTTACAAATTAACCTCAATGTTAAGTTTAAACGAAATTAAATTAAATTAAAGATGTAATATTACTATGGAAATATTACTTATAAATTAAAATAACTAAAAAGAAATACTTAAACTAAGAAATACTTAGCTCAGTACAGGGATAATCCAAGTAATACCACGATGCACTGAACAATTATTTCGTAAAATCCTTTATAATTACACTAAAACAAATATTAACTCAATAAAATATATCACCAATTAAAACCACATATAGCACGAACACTATAAAATAGAAATTCCGGCCGAGGTTTAACTTGGGACACTTTTAATGAATTTAAAATCACGGAGATCGCACTGGCACGTCCGTACGCTAAGGCGATCGAACGCGAAGTGTAGATAGGGACAATCCCTCCACCATCCCATGGTCCTTCCCGCCTTGCGGCATACGGACCGAATCACGGGAGACGCACACGGTACTTGCTCGGGGCTCTTTCCCGCGTGCGCTTACTTGACTCCCTACAAATTTCTCTGTTCCGTCCCTTTTCTCTACGTTTCACTTCTCCCCCTTCTGGGGCGTGACTCCACAGCGACGACACTTCGCGTTCGCAGCTATCTGGTCGTATTTTCAGTCCTCATACTGTTTCCTTTTGTGATGCCATGCATGCGCAAATCTCCTAAACTCCTTAAAGTTGGATTCGCAGCACACTAGATCCCGGAAGTATACTGGTCCTATTTCTGTTCTTTGTAGGCTGTCCAATAATGCGTTCCTCTCTTCAATATACAGATCGCAATCCCAGAGAGCATGGTCACGACTCTCCAGTGCTGAGCCGCAGGGGCATAAGCCAGAGTTCCTAAGGTTGAATTTTAGGAGACGCTCATTGAAACACCCGTGACCAACAAGAATCTGCGATACTGCATAATCGGGCTCGACCCACCTGAAGATTAGACGCTCTGCGATGTCCGGGAAAAACTTGTACAGATCCTTGCCATCTTGGCTTGAATCCCACCGGTCCTGCCAAATGGCAACGACAGCCGCCATCATCTCCCTCTTTTTCTTCCTGCGCTCCTTGTCGACCAGACCCGTCCCCTCCTCGTCGACTCGTCCCGCACGAAAAACTTCCAGGTCGGCAGGCAATACGCCCGCCAACACCGGTAGCGCTGCGTTGCTAGCCGTCCTGTAAGCCTTCGTGAGAAGAATCAAAGCTGGTCTTTGCGTCCTCATCAGTACGCTTCTGATAACATAAAGGGACGAGCGTTGGTACCATACGGCAGCAGCATATGTCAACGTTGCCACATAGGTCCCTGAATACAGGACTCTAAGGGCGTGAAATCTTATGCCCCAGGTCGATGAAGACACTCGCGACATCTTCCCGAAGCAAGCGGCGGCCTTCTCGCCGATATATAATGCATGCTGCACATAGGACCTAGCCTCGTCCAAAATTATTCCTAGGGCTCTTGCCTGTGAAACACTCGTGATCGTTGCACCGTCCATCTTTATAATTGGTCCACGTTTAAACTTGCCCTTATAGGTCATCGTTTGTGACTTCCCGGTAGAAAACCCTAGTCTGTTACGAATACCCCACTCGGACACGGCAGCGATCGTAGTTGCCGCTTTGCGCTCTATTGCGGAACGAGACGATGCTTCGACCACGATCGTCACATCGTCGGCGTAAGCAACGAAGTGTACTCCTTCGGGTTTTGGCAGCTTCAGGAGGTCATCGAGTAGGAGGTTCCATAGGGTTGGTCCGAGCACCGATCCCTGAGGACAGCCCATCGTGGAGACCTTCCACACTACCCGGTTTCCAGCAAACAGTCCTACACGGCGATTTATGAAGTAACTCGTTAAAATACGGTAAATATTAGGTGGAACGCCACATTGCTTTGCCTTGAGTAGGACCATTGGCCACCAGGCATTGTCAAAGGCTCCAGATATGTCCAAAAGGATCAGTTGCACGTAATTTTCGGTTGATCCGTTGGTAATTCGGTTGATAGTATTAAGGGCGGTCACTGTGGATCGGACACGCGTGAAGCCATGTTGTGCATCGGAGATTCCGCGGTAAAGACATGGAGCGCAGGAGATGATCACACGCTCCAGAATTTTTCCCAATATGGGCAGCAAAGTTATCGGGCGGTAGGCTTTAGGGTCTGTGAGCGGCCTGTCGCCACCCTTTGGCAGAACAACGAGTTTGCCCATCTTCCACAGATCCGGAAAAACGCCCTCGACTATGCACGCCCTAAACATGTGCCAGATCTCGTCACCAGTTACCCGCCATGCCTGTCTAACAATCTTAGCCGTGATTCCGTCAATGCCGGGTGCAGTGTTCGGCAGTTCTCGAATGATGAGTCCAACTTGTTCTTTGGTCGGTGGAGTAGCATCAGTTCCAGATGGAGCACATGCAGCAGCGATCCGCACTTGTCGATGGTATACAGTGTCCCTGGCTAGATTATCGTCTGGGCATAAGGCATTGACGAGGCCAAGCATGGTGTCTCCGGTCGTCCTAGTATAGCCGTCAGCTAATCTCACTCCATTTAGCACGTTGAGAGGTGGACGAAAACGTCCACTGGCTGTTCGGTAAGCCAGGCCCCACGGATCGGCGTTACCTGATTCCGCGACAGAGCGGAAGAAGGCAAGTTCAGCTTCCTTCATAGCTAGCTTGTAGCGTATCCTGGTTCGTCGGAGATAATCTTGAAGAGCCTTCTCCCTGTCGCCTCCTATGCGACGTGAGGCCTGCCACTTACGACGTGCACAATAGACCTCGTTACGCATTCGGTCAAGAGCCGGAGACCACCACTCGTACCCTTCTTTCTCCTTTTTCGCACGTGTACCTAATCGTTCTCTCGCAGTACGTAGAAGTATTGCAGAGTACTGCTCGCAGATATCACTAGCTGGCCGCGTTAGCCTCAGCTGGGACATGCGGGCGTGCAGAGTCGAACAAAATCCTCCCCAGTTCACACCACGTTCACGAAAGTAACATACGTTATCTGAAAATTCTGTGCCATTGTACCCGTGTGAGTCACCAAGGATAACGCCAAACGTTATCAACTGGTGGTCACTTACACTAACACCCTCATGCACCTTCCAGTCAGCAACCCTCACACTACGTGTGGAGATGGTAATATCCACATTGGACGAGCCATTTGGGCTATGAAATGTTGGCGGTTGACCCTCCACATTATGTACCAGCAAATTCCGTCCGAGGATGAATCCCTCCATCTGGAGTTTGCGGTATTCTGTATCGGAGCCCCGACCTACATATTGCCTGCGCTCGCAGTGCCACATTGGAGAGTGAGCGTTACTGTCTACACCAATAAGGATTGGGTGACCAGAAAGCTGATCCATCACGTGGGTGAGATGTTGCAGGTGACAAGAGATGTCATGACTGTACTGGCAGTATAACGATACGACGTATATGCTAAAGCTCTGGCAGCTGACATGACCTACAACACAGTGTTCGTTGCATAAGTCATGTAGGAGCGTGACTACAAATCGTGAACTTACTGGTAATAGACCGGCCTTAGGGTTGGTGCCGCTCCCAAGTACTTGAGGATGCTGATGTTGCTCCTGAACTAGTACTAGATCCAACCCCAGTTCTCCGGCTATGACAGGAAGCTCAGTGGTAGCCGTCCTCGAGCCTTGCAAGTTGAGCTGACCTACGCGAAAGGTAGTCGTCCTATCCATATTGGGTCATATTGACCGACTGCTGTTCCGCGTGCAAACGTGCAGGACAGTTAAGAGCGGCAGTGGCATGTTGGTCAGCATCTTTCCGCTTGAAGCGCTTGCATGTGGCGCAGCACTGTGTAGCCGACTGGCACTCTGCGGCACGATGACCGGTCTCGCCACATTTGCCGCAGACCATCGCTGCCGCCCTGCAATGCTTCTCCGGATGGCCATACTGCTGACATTTAGTGCAGCATGTCACCCGTACATAGTCGCAGACTTCAGCTTCGTCCCAACCAATGAAGACGCTGCCGAGGCCGACCAATTTGTCCCGCAGCGCAGATGTGCACTCCATCACTACTGTGGTGCGAGGTACATCTTTCCGGCCCTTCTTGAAGGCAACTCTGCATGATTCGCCAAACTTATCTCTAGGCCAGTCAGGATCATCACTCAGATTGATCCTGTACAAATCCTCAATAAATTCAGTGGCTGGCGGGTCCGAACGCAAATTGCGCACTGCCACCAGTGGCCGCCTACTTTTGGGATCAGAGACCTTCAAGGAAGGCGGAACCGCTGCCTTCAATTTCTGGGCAGCCTCAATAGTTGCCGTCTGTACCACAATGCCGGAGTTCCCTACTTTTCGCACACTGTGTATTTTGATTCCCTGGGTGCCAGGCTGAACTGCCTTCTGCAACTCAGTCTTTGTATCGTCCGACGACTTTATGGAATCATTGTTTGGGTAAACAATGACTGCCGGGCCCTTGGACTGGACACAAAGTGGCGGCTTACCCTTAGGCAGCTTCAACCTGGCAGCATAGCTGTCAGCAGAGGGAACGGAAGAGGCCGCATAGGGGAAAGGAGGGGCAGAAAGGGTTTGGGTTTGGGCTACTGACAGTTCCAGTTGCGCACACTTAAGTTTGCAGGCAGTCACTTCTTGCTCCTTTTCTCCGAGCCTAATCTCTAACGTTGCCACGTACGCTAGAATGTCCTGGCTAAGGCTGCCGATAGTGGTTTTATCAGCCAAGTTGAGCTTGTTGCTCGCATTGGCGACAGTCGCGATTCCTTTTAGGGCCGCATGTACCTTCTCCATTA